TTGTTTCATATTTTAAAAACATCTCTCCCCAAAGAGCTGCATTTCTGTAAACTGCTAACTGAACCCTGTCTAACTTCCTGCTTTCTAACAAAGAACATAATCCTCTGCTGTTGAGTCGATTCCAACTCATAGTGACCCTGTGGGACAAAGTAGAACTGCCCCACAGGGTTTCCAAGGCTGTCAATCTTTCTGGGAGCAAAGCCCAAATCAAACCTACTGCCATGAAGTCGATTCGATCCACAGCACCCCTAGAGGACAGAGTAGAACTGCCCCATAGGGTTTCCAAGACTGTCAATCTTTACAGAAGCGGACTGCCTCATCTTTCTCCCATGGAGCAGCTCTGGTGAGTTCAAATCACCAATGTTTTGGTTACAGCCAAGCGTTTAACCGCTGCACCACCAGGGCTCCTTGACAGAGAACAAGCACTCTCTAAACAAGAGAGTTTGACTTTGACCTGACAAATGGACATGGCAGACACCGGCATCATAAAAACTGGAAGTGATTCCTCAACCTGGTGCGTAGGATTGCACCTCAGAGCTTTGGGCACAGCCAGTGACACACATGTGCATTTAGCTTCCAGCCCTCTTTCATTTTCAGGTGCTTAAAGATGGAGTTCCAGACAGAGATTAGGTACTTTGTTTCTAGATCCTAGAGAAATGACATTACCCTGCAACAGCAAAGGACCCGCAATTAATAGCACCTTCGTATAGTTTCTTTAGTACAAGCTCCTTCACAGTTATTTCTTAGCATTACATGAAGCCATCTTGTACTATTATTCTATATGCCAGCAAGTCCATGCCAATTTTCATTTACCTTTTACGCAAGGGACAAGTCATGTTTAGGCAAGATGGAAGATACCGGTAAAGCAATAAGATGATTAACTGAATAGACCATAATTTCCCATTGGATTTATTTATCCTAAAAATGGTTTATTAGACTTAATTTATTTTTATTTATTTTTTAAAAAGTTAATACAGCAGGCCTGAGGTTGCTATCTTTTGAAGGACCAGCTTACAGGGTTGGCCCTTGGCTGGCATCTGGGAATTTGGCTTTCAGCATTTTCCCTCCGTTACTAACCGATAAGGTTGTTTCACTGTGCCCAGGCTGTCTGTATTAGCAGTGTGATTTGTGGTGAAGCCCTGCTTTCCTTCTTGGAGTCTGGAATTCTGGGTTGCTGGTCAGAGAAGGACTATGTGACCAGGCCCCAATAAAAACCTCAAACTCTGAGTCTCAAACAGGCTTCCTTGGGCAGAAATAGCACATGCATGTTTGCATTTCACTGCTGGAAGGAGAGTGAGCTCCTGATGAACGCTGACGGGAGAGAGAGAGCATAGGAAGCCTGCAAATGTATCTCTCCATTCTCCAGCTGTGTCTGTCCCCCTTACTGATACAGCTGTATATGCTCATTCTGTCACTATACTAAATCAGCCATGAGTACAATTATACTGAGTTCTTGGAGCAAATCAAAGAATGCAGGGATAGTCTGGGGGACCCTCAACACAAGCCTCTTGCATGTACTTTTGAGTAGCTTATAAAAATATTTTTAAATTACCCTAAAACTATTATGCCCCTTGAACAGACCACCACAAGTCCAAAACCAGGTAGATTCAGTCTTCATAAGTCCTGCCACCTGCAGATAACAGAGTAGCTGGGAATTCTGCTCAACAGTTATTGGTCTCAAAACAATATTCTTATTGCAACTGCCCAGGCACTGAAAGATAAATGTTCTCCACAAGGCAGAATGCAGATGTTATGGCTCAGGTGCATTTATTCAAAGCCAAGGGTTTTTACAGTCCATACACTAAAGACATCATCTGTACATGTGCCATACCATTAAATATCATCAGAGCCAATTTCTGGGAAAGGAAGACATTATTCTAGTGTTGATATTCCTTGTCACATTTGCTTAGGGCTGATTATAGGCAGTAATCTTGTTTGACGGAAATACAGCCCAACTCATCTCACATTAGATCCTGGCCATCAAAGGCAGAGTCTATTTTCAATGCTGACTAACCCCATGGAGCTGGACAGAGAGGAGTTGAGGTACAAGGTTCCTCTGGAATTCTGGTGTTTGTCATGGGATAGATTCAAGGTTGGAAACCCTATGGGGGTCGCTATGAGTCAAAATTGACTCAATGGCAGTGGGTTGGGTTGGGTTTGTTCTTGGTTGGAAACCCCCTGCCACATGTCAAGATTAAACCAGTTGCTGTTGAGTCAAGTCTGACTCATGTAGACCCCGTGTGTGTCAGAGTAGAGCTGTGCTCCATAGAGTTTTCAACGGCTGATTTTTCTAAAGTAGATCATCAGGCCTTTCTTCTGAGATGCTTCTGAGTGAACTTGAACCTCCAACCATCGGTTAACAGCCAAGCACATTAACTGTTTATACCATCCACGAACTCTGTGCCAAGATTAGACTAGACTATATCCATCCTCCTGTGCAACCTATGTTACTTTAACAGGTGATAAACAACTCCTCTGTGCTAGAGAGGTGAAAAGACAAAGGTAAAGAACTTGGTGTCTGACCTTCAAGAATGTACCAGTTTGTGGTTGTCTGTGGTTGATACATAGTAATCCTTTCACTACCATGGAAGACCCATTACTGGCTATGATTCCAATACCAGCATTGGAGTTTTGTTAAGAGCTTTGCCTTTTCTCTGAGAAAGACACAGTGTATCTTTCTCAGGAGTCACTAGCAAGTGGCTTTCTCAGAAATTGCCAGTGAGCTTGACCCAGAGACCAGCAGCTCCCACACGGGAACCAGCAGGCCATACAGCAGGGCAGGTGGGCAGTCCACACAAACCAGACTAGACTTTGTATGTTAGCTAATGCTTGTCATGCCTCAGTTGTTTCTCCCAGCCATCTAACTGAGATTAAAATAATGGGCAGTATTAAGTGGCTGGGAAAGGTTACAGTTCACATCCAACATGGGACCACACTGGAATTGCCAATCTACTGCTGAAGGTGTGCAGCCTCAGAGCATAGGAACCACTAATTCATATGAAATGAATCGCATGATATTCAGAGTCACATGAGCCTGGTAGGCACCTCAGAAGAAAGGCCTGGCAATCTACTTCCAAAACATCACCCACTGAAAACTATGGAGTGCAGTTCTACTCTGACACACGTGAGGTTGGCATGAATCAGAATTAACTGAATGGCAACTAGGCTTTTTTAAGTCTATGACATTCTGACTGGCTACTTCCACTTTTAAAGTTACATACAATATTCTTGGGTGAAAAGGAGTAAAGGTATACATTCTCCCCACATTATATTTAAATTTAATGAAATTCTAGTGAAAATCTCTAAGGGATTTTATTTGAACCTGCTTTTTAAAAATCATTTTATAGCTCATCGGGAAGAATAGTGAAATACATTAAAAACATTTACAAATAACAATAAGAGAAGGGTACATTATGGGCTTGATTTACAATAATGCTAACCAGAAGGATGGAGGTTCAAACCCACCACCCACTCCTTGGAAGGAAGGCTGGGCAATCTACTTCCATAGTGATACCACCTTGGAAACCCAAGGAGGGGTTGCTATGAGTCGGGGCCAACTTGACGGTACATAACAACAATAACATCGTAATAAAAAAGGATGCTAATGGTTCAGGTGTAATTGATGAATTCATCAATGGAACAAAAGAGAAATCTCCGAACAAATCTATATTAGTCAATTTAGTAACAATCTGGGGGAGGAAAAAAAATCAAGTGCGATCCCTACCTCACACATTACACTAAAAATAAAGTCCATCTAGATTATAGATTTAGGAGCTCTGGTAGCATAGTGCCTAAGGCACTTGACTGCTAACCAGAAGGCTGATGGTTCAAACCCACCAGCCACTCCTCGGAAGGAAGGTTGGGCAATCCTACTTCCGTAGTGATAACTGCCTCGGAAACCCAAGGAGGGGTCGCTAGGAGTCGGGGCCGACTCGATGGCAAATAACAACAGATTATAGATTTAAACTTTAAATGGAAACAGAAGTGCTGAAGGGAAATAAACAGGTTATTTTTTATATAATCCTTTGACAGAAAAAAACTTTAGGCATGGTCTTAAAGCAGAATCCACATAAGTAAAAGATTTAACTACACGAATATTTAAAAGTAGGGAAAATAAAAACTACCATTAACAAAAGAAAAACAAAATCACATTGCACAAATATAAGCAGCCTAACAAAGATTTCCTTTATACATAAAAGAGTTCACCCATCGGTAAGAGAAAGAATGCAATAGCAAAAGGGAAGAAAAAGGGTGAAGGATATGAAGAAGCTATTCATAAAACAAAGAGCCAATAAACGCAGTGTTCATACATGGTTACTGATCACAAAGTCAACAAAAGAAAATCTCATTTTTCACTTATCAAAATGACAAGCATTTCAAAAATAATATCCAGTGTTGGCATGGTTTGGAAAACTGACACATTACTAACCAACCTGATTTTGACTTATAGTGACCCCCACTGTGTTTCTGAGGCAGTAAATCTTTACGGAAGTAGATTGCCCCATCTTTCTTCCATGGAGTGGCTGGTGGGTTTGAACTGCCAACTCTCTGGTTGCAGTCAAATGCCTTAGGCACTGTACCACCAGAGCTTCTTTATTACTGCCATGTTGTTGTTGTTATGTGCCGCCAAGTCAGACCCGACTCATAGCGACCCCTCCTTGGGTTTCCAAGGCGGTATCACTATGGAAGTAGATTGCCCAACCTTCCTTCCAAGGAGAGGCTGGTGGGTTTGAACCGCCAGCCTTCTGGTTAGCAGTCAAGTGCCTTAGGCACTACACTACCAGAGTTCCTATTACTGCCATAGAAGGAATCAAATTATTTTTGTTAAGAGAAAAAAAATGTGCTTAAGAGAAAAAAAAAAAGTGATTCTCCACTTAAAAAAATCTTATAATGATATTAAATCCTACAAGAAACCTGAGTATACTGAGGTACACTGAGTATTTGAGAATACTGAGTAATGACACATGTTGAGTAATTGGTAGGAGATAAAAGTTTCTTACCTGGATGACAGTTTGCATCCCTGTTGCACATAGCTATTCAGGTTCCCAGTTGCTGCAAGTAATAGCCCCAGGTATGGAGGGGAAGGGTTCATCGGTCTAGAAGAAAACTCAGGATGGAATTGGACACCAACAAAATATGGATGATCTGAAATGAGAACAATCATGATGAAATTGAAGCACACAAAGATGAAACTGCTTTAAAGGTCTTCTTATCTTTGGATACAGAAACTCATTAAATGGCAAGGAGACTATTTACCTTGTTACCATCATAACCAGTTACATTCATTATCCATTTTCTGAG